GACTTCCCAGCAACAGCCCACATTTTTTCACTAGTTTGATCCCAGCATTGAAAAGGAAACAAAACAACTGTGTGAACGTGAAGCAGCATTGGCCTAAGCCAGAAACACCAGCTATCCCAGAGCTATGGGAGTACCAAACCTGCCTTTGGCGAATTCAGTAGGCCCTACTGCTCTTTCTTTACATGGGAACAGGGAAAGAAACCGGCCCTTGAGTCCCGAGAAACACGTGCAGTGCTTTTTAACTACATTGTTTTTCGTGATCTGTAAGTGACACTGAAAACAGTGGAAGAAAGCGACACACAAACCTTCGCTCAGAAAAATCAGAGTACAGGTTTCATTCACATTTCGCTATTTGGGATTAACAATGATTGCGAGTTGAAAACTGTAAAAAGCTCACTGGCAGAAAATGCAACCGAAAACACACTTTAGTAGCTGTTTTCCAGAAAAATCAGAAGAGCATATACTTGCAGCCATTTATAAACCCGAATAATCTCTTGCCTTTTCTGACTGTTGTTACTATAGCTTGGTTGACATTTTTGCCCTTTTCAGCTAGAGAAATTAATGGTTTCCAGCAGTGGTAACGACTTATCAGCAGAATAACTGGTGTTTAGGTTTCCTTACTTGAAATAAATTACTAGAGGTTTCTTATTTTTCACAGAAGTACTTGTAAACAGGAACTGTCGATTTGAAAAATTCACAGAGGTAAAAGGTGGTCTATTTGCCTCCATGAGGGAACCACTCACACACCACAAAATCCTTCAGAACAAACAGATATCTAGCGCTCAAAGCGTCCTCTGGAAACAACTGAATCACAGCTTTCCCTTAAATCCCTGTCAGGGTTAATCTTTCCCATACTTAACAGTTACCTCTCAAACTCTTTCCTAAAAACGAAAGTAGAAACTGCGTGTGGCGTTAATCACCTATTAATTTAACCATAGGAATAAAGACTCACCGTTCTGGGCTTACCATTCCGGAATGAACTGTAGAAGTGAAGAAAACATGAAGTTGTGCTCGTACATTTGAATGCTGCCCTAGCTGACTCAAATCAGGGTAAGCTAAACTCATGTCACCTAAAGGAATGAAGAAAACTGTCTTGATTGATTTGAAAAAAAAAAAAAGGGGGGGGGGGGGGGGTTTTTCTTAAACACACACGGCACACACAAC